GTGATGCAAAAGGTTTATTTTCATGTTTTGGCTAGAGGAAGTAGGAGAAGAGCATCACAGTTCAAAAGGAGGAGGAAGTAAGTGTAACTAAGAAAAAAAACTTAATTTCAAGATTCTAGGTTTGTATTTCTAATCCATTGTGATGTTATGACTTTCATAAACATGATGCTTTCTTATGGATTAATTTTTAAAGCATGTTGAGTGGCTTTTAATGATTTATGGTTTAGATGACATTTTTGTTGTTAAACTTGTGTTTTTATGGTGCTAGATAATCTTATGTAGCTCCCTTAAGCTTTATTTGTTGATTTGAGGTTAAGCTGAAGTGTTTGAGAGGATTTTAGAGTGATTTATGAGTTTAAAATACATTAGTTTTACCAACAATCAATTGGTTTAGTGGGATGAGACACTAGATTTCTTAAACAATACAAGGGGTTCAAATTCTGGCGTTTGTAAATGGAGCAAATTGGGTTGGAAGGGTCACCCTCGCCTAGGCAGTTCCCAATCTGGATTAGTCGATTAATAGATCATATACCAGTGATTAATTTAAAAGAATACATTATTTCTAGGCTTAGGTATGAATGTTAGAAGAACAATATCGATATCATATGAAGTGATGAAGAATTTAGGTAAAATACAAGGGTAATATAAATGTTGTTCATGTAGCATCTATAATGTTCATAGAGTATCGATACTCCATTTAGTAGTATCATTATTTCTCACTTATGAGCATTTTTGGTGTTGATTCTTTCATTTGGTATCGATACTCCTAGTTTGATATCGATACCAAATAGCAGTATTGTAGTATCAATACCCAATATTAATACTTCAGTATATGTTCTCCTTGGTTGAGTATCAATATTCTCCAATATCAAAAGAATAAAAATATCTCTCGTTGCACTTAAATGTTAATATTTACTATGAAATGTACAACTAAACTTGAAAAGATGTCATAATTTATTAAATGATTAAAATACCCTTGGTAGATAAGAATTTTTAAAAGTACTCATAAACAGTCACATAACGAATAATTATGAAGGATGGACCATTGCGAATGATATATCTACAAACGAGATGATTTATCATGCAAATAATGTGCTAGAGAAACAACACACTATGTGAATATTGATAAATCAATGACATGCAAATCGTCCTCCAATTCAATGATGAAATTAGGAATGACAAAACGACTCGAACCCGACGGGGAAACCTGAAACCCGACTAAGTTCGGGTCGGGTCGGGTTTAAATAATATCGGGTCGATTCGGATATCGGAGTAAAATTCAGGAATTTTTTCGGGTTCAGGTTCGGGACAAGGTATCCCCGCCCCGTCCCGATTATATATATATATATATATATATATATATATATATATTTTATTTTTTATATTAATTATATATATACTATTTTATATTTTTATATTAATTATATATATAATATTTTATATTTTTATATTAATTATATAATACAAATCTTAAACATTTAAACCCCTAAACCCTAGCTTTTATAATTATTAAAGTGAAATTTGGTTGATTTATTGATAAATTTCTCAATGTAGGGAGCTACCAAAGAAGGTGATAAAAGTGGCACGACGATTTTGGATGACTTTATTTGACTTAATATTACGTATGCATCTTCGTTGTATGATTTGAATATCGGAACAAGTTTGTATTTAATTATGTATGTGTTTTATTTTGAAGTTTAGACAATTATTTAGAATTGGGTTTGAATTGTAAATCATGTAGACTAATTTTCTAGATTTTTGTGATCGTTTTTTCTATTTTTTATGAAAACTATGGTTGCTCGGTTTTTCTCGGGATCGGGTTCAGGTTCTCGGGATCGGGTCGGGTTCGTGGACGGGGCAAAAAAATCTCTGACGGGACGCCCCGATAAAAGACCCGACGGGGAACGAGGGAGGGACGGGGGAGCAAAATCCGTCCCGAACCCGCCCCGTTGCCATTCCTAGATGAAATGAGGGAAAATGTGATGAAATCAATTAGAGTCGTTAATAAATAATCAACCCCGAGTTAAGTATCATATTAGTAATAATATACCATGTGAGTAGTGATAATGTTAAATGAATTAATGTCATAAACCACTAAAAAGGCCTTTAGAGGTGAAAATGATCAAAATATCATTGGGTGTTAAATGAATAGAATAGCATGGTCTAATAAACTAATAGATGAGGAAATATTAGTTTATCCTTACATAATGTTCTAGATGAGATAACGGGTGTGTAATGATGAGTGATGAGATGACCTCACTTGATTGTGATGAACCATGATAGTGTGTAATCAAAGTACCTTGATTACCTTTGTGTGACATTGATTGATGTGTGTGGCCTATGCAAATATATGCATGTTTTGATTTCAATGATGATAATTATTGGATATTCATGATTCTTTACTTGACTGACTATAGTGATATCGAGTGAATACTACGTATTATGAGTGATAATTATATTAAAGTATCTATGACACTAGAATTTCATGCATGATCTATACTCAAGGCATCCATGACATCGGTAAATCGTTTGTACTGATTGGTGAAAATTTTACAAAGGCATGTGTGACATAGAGTTTCTCCATTTGTGATTAGCATCTGACGGCTATTTTAACACTGAGTGTTATCATTGTGTTTGTAATATGATTCTATATACATATTACAAATCAAAATTTTTAAAGGGATGTCTCAACAAATTTGAGATTACATTTTTTTTAATTGAAAAAATATGGTTAGAGGAATCACTACTAATCTTTTATTAGGGTGTGATTGGACACCAAAAAATGTTTTGATATTTTAATAAAATTTGATTTTAATATTATTAAAATAACGATTTAGGTTTGAATACCAAAATTGAGTTCAAGAATCAATTACGTGTGAGAAAAGATTAACACCCTAAATCGATACATAATTAATTAATTAGTTGTCTTTGGAATGAGAATGTTATGAATTCAAATATTGATTTAATTAACGATCCATATTTAAGCGCATAAAAATTATAGAGCATTGATAGTTTTGAGGAGTGATGTATAATGTTTTAAAGTTTAAGGATCAATATAGAAGGAGAACATTTTTAAGTTTAGGATGAATTAAAAGTTAGAGTTAATGTTCGAGGATCTCATCTACAAATAGCTCTATTAAATAAGATGATAAAATCTGAACACCTAAACAAGTTTATTCTTTATTGCATATCTAAGAAGGAAAGGAAAAGCCCTAAGCATTCTTTTGAAAACCGGACTGGATCGGCCGATTCAACCGGGAACCGTTGTCTAGTCCGATTCAATCTAAACCGGTTGAATCGCTACTAGTGAACCGGAAATTTTGTTTGTTTTTTTTAAATTAAACCAAACGGCGTTTGTTAAACGAGCCAAGTCGAACTCAAGTATTGCTGAGCTTGACTCAAACTTAAAAACTTTAAAAGTAAGCTCAACTCCACTCAAACTCACAAGTTAAAAATTATCAAGTTCAACTCGAACTCGAAATATAATATTGAAACTTAAACTCAAAAAGGCTTGAACTAAAAAAAATTTTAGAAGCTCAATTGAAGCCTAAAATTCGAGCTTGATTGAAGTGAAAGAATAGTTCACTCAATGCTCACCAAAAGTATCCATGATTTTGAATGCCAAATTACCTCTATTATTTATAGAAGTTAGTTGTGATGCTCTTCTATGTTTCTTAGCAATGTGGGATTGTTTTGTTATCATATTTTTACTCTTTAGACTTTTGGGATGCTCTTATATGTTTCTTAACCATGTGGGATTGTTTTTTAAAAAAAAAAATTAAATCAAACAATATCATTTTGTTATGATTTTTTTAGCCCCAAATTTATTTTTTAATTATAGTTATATAATTATATTTATTTTTTAATATGTTTTACCTTAAATATTATGTTGTAGTTAATTTGAATCATTTTGTTTCACTTGATTTTATGGTTTTTAATTTATATATGTTATGACTTGCTTTGAATATGACTTGTGATATAAAAAAATTATTTTTTATTAAATATTTTTGGTGGTATTTTTTTTAATTTTTTAAATAATTATGACGTCGTCCGATTCTTCCGACTGATCGGACCGATTCGACCGATTAAACTAATGAACCGATAATATGATCGGTTCGCTAACCAGTCCGGTTCTGAAAACCATGGCCCTAAGCAATTAAGAAGGGCAGAACGGTGAGCATGAATTCTCCGTACGTAAACGTTGCAGTACCATCGTACAAGCGGTCATACTTCTTGAATTTCTCAGTTAAGCCCTACGTTACAAACCACAAAACGATTTAGTACATGAAAACCGAAGTCTCCGTCAAAAAGAAAAAGATGAAAGCTTACTTTAAGTATAAGGCTGCACCTGCGTTGAGAAGAAGAAGAAATTTGAAAAATATTACTTGATATTATTGACATAAGTCAAAGGAATATCATGTTCAAAAAAACAAAAGGCTTGAAACATAAAATAGCTCTAAGGGTACACATATATAATGAATAATTAATCAAAAGAAAGTTGAATTTCAAGATGGACACTTATCCACCAAAAATACACTTGTATCCACCACAGAATACGATAAACTTGGTTAAATTTGACTGAAAGACCAATTTGACTCTCAAAAGTAGATGATCAATTTGATCCTAAAAGTCTGGGTAAATTACATGTTTAGTATGCAAACTATTACTTTTATTTCGTTTTGGTACTCAAACGTTTTTTTTCTTAAAATTATACCTAATGTTTAGTTTAAGTTTCATTTTTGTATCACTCCTTTTAAAAATTAACGATGATGTTGATGTGTCACCATAAGATAACACCACATCATCATTGAAAAATATTTAAAAAAAATACGGCATCAGTAGTTCTGTTAATTTTTTAATGATGGAGTACCAAAATGAAACATAAGATAAATGTTAGATATAGTTTTGAAAAAAATAATGTATAGGCATTAAAATGGAACAAACGTAATAGTTTAGACAATAAACGTGTAGCTTACCCAAAAAATTAATAACTAATTTAACTAAATTTGTAAAATTGAAGTGGCAAAAACAACAACAAAGAAAATTAATGGACCCCGAGTTGTGTCGAACTTGGTTACAAGCAACTCCATGACAGTGGGAGGAACTGCAATTCCTTGACTCAACAGTGCCTCACTCATTCCATTGGCGTCGATTTTACCACTACTGTCCCTATCAGATTTCTCAAAAATGGCCTACAAAACATAAACTTGTAGTAATTTTCTAAGCCATTGATGTAATCATCATGGATTCAAATAATAATTGGATAATGGAATAGCGACTGTTATATCGTTATAGTTAAAGAGCGGTTGTTATATCACGGTTATAGCAGCGTCCAAAATTGATATTATGAAAAATAACAGTGTGAAGTGAAATCACACCAATATCAATAAATTGCGGTCGCAATCTAATGGGTAACGACCAATTATATTAATAGCGGGACTCTATTATTTATTTTAATTTTTAGAAAATATATATATTTTTGTAAAAATCAACTCCTTTAGAAATCTTTTATGCCATTGATGCAATCATAAAAAGGAAGAATAAACCTTCTTATGGAAATTACCCTAAAACTCTGAAGACTATAGAACAATGAAGAAAACTCCCTTGGACCTGTATTGAGAAAAACAAAAACTATTAAAATCAAGATAGATCGAATAGATGTTCGGGAGTCATACCCTTTGAAATTTTCAAACATTCACAGAATTTAATTATTTTAATATTTTTTATCGGTGATATAATTTTCACCCCTAAATTTCTAATATAACTTTCAAAAAAAATTCATCTCTAATTCAAAGTCCTACAATTGTCCTTGATTAAATGTTTGAAATTGTTTATGAAATTATTGTTACATTCATGGATGGACCTATGGAGGGGACGGTTGGGGATTGTCATTCCCTAAATATCTTAAATTATCATATATTTAAGTTTTTTTATATTTTTTATTAAAAAACTATTTTCGTTTCCTAAAATATTATAAATTTGATCCCTCTTAAAATTTTAAAATTTTAAAATTTATGCCCGTAAAATAAAATCATACGTTCATCCTGATTATATTTAGTTCAATATGTAAAATTGCCTCTCTTAACATTGGCCAAAATATACATAAGCGGGGGTCGTTTAGTCATTATGTTGCATGGAGCTAAAAAGTATACTGGACGTGCATGCTACACTTAGGCAAAGTTACCAATTAGGTTTTTGTAAAGTTAGTACAAGTTTAAGGGTTACGTCTTTGAATCTTCGTTTGAATCTCAATTTGTATAAACTATGCGTATATTTTTTAAAACTTATTTAACTTATGTTGATATATGTATATAGATTTTGTTTGAAATTTTTTAAAATTAACTAAATCTTTTAATATTTCTAATCATTCCAACATGTATTGGTTAATGTAATTATTTTTGTATTCCTACAAGAAACCTCAACTTAAGTATCTGCATCTTATAGTTCAAGTGACTTTAGTATTAAAATAAAATATTATTTTCTCTAAAAATATTGAGTTCGAATAAATATAAATACAGAATGTGTGTTAATAAATTAAAAAAATCATGACCAAATATTTTATAATCACCCTATACTCATGAAAAAAAGTATGTACAGCTGATGCAACCATAATTAATATGATATACCTAATTTTTTATTAATTTTGAACTTTATTTAAGTCATATTAAATTCAATATGTCTTATAGCTTAACGTTGGGATTAGTCCTAACTATATGTAGGGTGGTCTATCTAGGCCGGCCCGTATCGAATATGCATAATATTTTTAACTCGTGGGTCGACACGACTGATCGTAAAATATTTTAGAATATATTATTTAATTATATATAATATTAAAATGTATTACTTTCGGGTTACACACCTTGTTTTAATAGGTGAATCTCCTAGTGGAAATTTTATGTATATACAATGACTCGAGCATAAGATATTCTTAAGCGATATCAAGCTGGTTACTACTTAAACGAACCCATATTTGTTGATTTATAGATATTTTTAATAGTAATTAAACATAATTTTTACAACTATAACATTAAGGTTTTAATTTTTTTTATTTTGATTTGAAATTGATATATAATATGTTAAAATATCAAATTACGATTAATTATGTAAAATATTAAATTTAAAAGTTGCTTTAAAAAATATAATATTAATACTAAATAACTCAAATAAGATCCATATATACAAACTAACTAATTATTCCCATCATCGATATTCAAATTAAAGTTAAAATTAATACAATATAAATCTAATAATTAACTTTTATAATAATTAATTTATTTTAAACTTTTAAATTAAAACATAATATATATTTTTAATAAAAAAATCTAGATCTAAATTCACGTATATATACAAACTATATTGTCCAAATACAAGACATCAATGGAGAACGAAATTTCTTTAATAACTGGAACCATTCCAATAATTCAAGATAATATATATTTAAATACGCTTGAATCCTTTATGTTTCAAGAACAACAATACTAAGCCAAATAAGATCTACTTAACAATTAATAACTATTAAAAATTATAGATCAAATTAACCGAATCTCATCTTATCTTTAGCCCGTCCTTCATATATTAATTCTTCTTACTAAAATTTATTTCATAAGAAGAACATATTTTACATGTATCACATGATTATATTTATGATTTAAGGTTTATATATTCATAAAATATCACCGCATCATATAAGTCTGACATGAACAACGGATAAAAATATATAAAATATTAGAAATAAAAAATTATTTTATTTTAAAATATTATAATTTTTATATATTCAAAACATTGAGATGATAACGTCGAAGAATCACAAACAATAAATAAAAATCATAAAATAAAAATTATATGTAATATAGAAGAAGAAGCTGACCGATCTTTCTTGTGTCACTGTTAGTGAAGAGATACATGAGCAAATGGATAGTTCTCAAACTGAAGCTTTCATTATAGGTAGTAAGAGCTGTCCGCAACTCCTTATCATCAATAAATCCACTCCCATCTTGATCAGCCAATTGAAAGCAAGCCACGATGTTCGGATCCGTCTCCGGCGGAAACGTCGACGGAAACAGAGCCGAAAACGGGCTAACGTAACAGCCTGCCGGAGGAGGACCATAGTTGGAGGAGGGTTCATCAGACATGCTTCAATGTTTTTGTAGGTAAAAATGAGATTTTAATTCGTTTGTGTGTGTGTGTGTGGATTCATTGATGTAGTGTTTATAAAGCTAGAGTTTGTTGAATAAGGTTTACTTATGAACATTATTTGCAGGGCTGCCATTCTTTGGATTGATTTTACTTTGCAAGACCCTTCATTCTTTGGATTAGTTATAGTCATAGAGTTTTCTGTTGGAAAATCAACCTTTTTTGCCCTCTATTTTAGTCCTTGACTTTTTATTGTATCCCTTTGGCCCTCAAACTTTTATTTTTTTTGTCCCAAATGTGATTAAACAGTAATAGATCTTTAAGTTAACGCTAGCCATTTATCCTTACTGAAGATTGAAGTCAACTATTTTATCATTTTCTGTCACGCAATTAAAAATTCAAAAAACAATGAAAAATGTAAAGTAAAACTAATCTCAACATTTAAATAAGGACAAAATAACTAATTTTTTGTTTTTAAATTTTTATGAAGTGGTTGGAAAGGATAAAACAGACAACATCAAATTTATGGCGTTACTAGCAATCCGTCACATTTGGGTCAAATTGACAAAGAAATAAAAATTTGAGGGTCAAAAGAGACGCAATAAAAAATTAAGAACTAAAATAACTAAACTAATAAAATTGAGAGTCAAAACGGCTATTCCACATTTTTTTCTCATTTATTTAAATAGCAAATCAAATAATGATTTTGGTTTTTCTATACAATATCTAAATTGTTATGTTGGTTGAATATTATTTGATGTATAAGTTTATTTAATATGTAATTTATATTAGATATGAGGTATTATGCAATAAGGATTTCTTAGTAATTAAGTAATTGACTATATAAATATAGGGTAGGTTTTAAGATGAGAGGCATGAATACGATTTATGTATTAAAAATGAGTTCTATATAGATGTGAGGAATAATTTCATAAAATACAAAGTTCATGGGATAAAGGAAATTTCATGTGTTTGAACACTAAAGAGCCGAGAAGAAGTAGGTTTTGTTTTGGTGTTTGATTTTATCATATGTTTGAACCTTTTATGATCGTCATGATTACGAATGATATTTTCTCTCTCGTGAAGGTAAATAATCAAAACCAAATCATATCAAGGAGCTATCTTGAAAAGCTTATGGAAATGTTTTTTGGTTCAAAATTTCGTTTGGAACGTAAAAATATTTAAAAATAACTCATTTTCAACACAAAAAAAAAATCACAATCGAAACGTGATTATTGACTCAAACCAAAAAGTTAGAAAAACGATATTTTTGCATTGGAAAAACTCGTTGAAAAAGATTTCGTTTGAAGAAGCATTTCCAAACGAAGCCTAAATATTTTGTCTTTTATATGATTTTATTTCATATTAATTATTTTTCATCTTACATATTCCTAATATAAATTACTGGGACTCTCAGTCCCTAAACTAAAGGATCCTGTACGATTAAAAATGCTAAAAACATCATAATGTCTTGGATGCTGCAACAAGAATCATGTCAAACGAGTTGGGACTAGATTGATTAATCAACAATTTTAATAAATCTTAAACTTTAATAGTGGTTTTGATCAATTTATAATATAATAAAGCGAAATTGTATCATGAATCTTTCTCATCACATTAATTATGGTTCAACTAATAGAAATAATTCTCGTCATTATTTTTATGTCATCAGTTCACTTATATAATAATTTTCAAAAAAATAAATAAATGAGATAAAAACATATGAATGTAGATTAACTTAGTTGAAAAAATGATATAAACAAATATGAATTAAGCGACTTCTATCGGTTGGCGTCATAACTGATATGATGAGGAGGGTCAATTATACGAAGTAATGTAGATTTTTCCTAATTTAAGTTTAAATATACTTCAATTATTAATCCATTATTCATTATCGTGATTGATTTTAATTAAATTTTTTTTATACATTACAAGCATTCTTTTGAAAAATTGAAGTTAGATTTATTTGTGTATGTAATTATTAGCGTGGTAGTTCTATGATAAGGAATATCAAAAGAAAATGCAAATTCGATGAAAATTACATAATACTCAATAATATAAAATGTTATCAAATTAATTTTTTTTATATAACTTTGGAAATCTTGTGTGATACTCAAATATTTATGTAAGTACACAAAATATTATATAATTAGACATGTTTAAAGCATAAGTGCATAACTATCAAACTTTGTACAATTTATTATGGAAGTTGTAACAAATTATCTAGCTTGATAATATTTTATGTTATTTCTTTAAATTATTTTTTAAAAGAATTTTCTTTACAATAGGAGCACTCCAGCTTTTTTATCGAGTAATATCAAATAGTTTTTATTTAAGTAAATAACATCTAAAAGTTATTTTAAAAAATAAAATTTAATTTTCGAAAGGCGTGCAATGTTGATCGAACTTCTAAACGTTGTGTTTATTCTTAATAAAAAAAGTTGTGTTTATTAGGACATTTTTTTAAGAATGGATGTTATTTTCTTAAATAATTCATTAATTTTTTTGGTACATCGCTTAAATAATTCATTATTTTTTATATAATTACACATGTTTAATAGCATGAAATGTTATTAAAATTTATTCAAACTATTATGAAAACTGTAACAGATTATCTAAATTCATAATATTTTATGTTATTTTCTTTAAAAAAATTCTAATTTTTTTAGAGCAGAATCACCCCTACTAAGGGATTTTTATAACAGTAATAAATTCTTTTTTATTGTTTAGATAAATAGTACTTAAAAATTATTTAGAGAAATAATACTCATTTAAAAAAGACGTATCTTGTTGATTATGTTTTTAACATATGCAAATCTTATTTTTAAAACAAATTTTCAGTATTAATTACGTCAATAATAAAAATTATTGTTTACATAAAATTGCCCTATATAAGAGTTTCAATTGGATTTAATTTTCTTGGTACGCAATTATTATGGACCCATTTCCCTGTTGACAGAATGGAGAAATATTTATTAAAATATAATGAAGTTAGCCGCCGTGTGGTCATGATAGTTAGTTATTTACCGGTAGAACTAGTTTACAGACTTGATTAGGCTACTAATGCAACTTTCTTTTCCACTTAATATAAAAATAAAAATAAGTGTTTAAATTATAATCGAAAATAAATTTTAGTACTTAAACAAATTTTGTTAAGAACAATTGTCTATATTTTCTTCATTACATTTTAATGTGTCTACTGTTAAAATTAAATCGTTAAGTGACATGTGTTACGTTTATATTTTTTTAATTTTTTAAAAACAAAATATTATTTAAAAAAAATATATATATATATATATATATATTTAAAATATTACTCCCCGGTCCCATAATTTTTATATGACTAAACAAAAAGTTTTAGGAGATAAGTTTGACCATATGTTAAGTTATAAAAAAAATAAAGGAAATGATAAAATTATCATTAAAAGTGATTGATAGATTTGTTTTGATATGTGTAAAAAGATGGGACATAAAAGAGAAAAAAAATTAAATATAAGTATTGTTGTTTGTTGATATTTTAAGTGTGACAATTTTAAAACTCAAAAGGACAAAATCATGGGACAAAGGGAGTATTTACAAATGGAGTGGCAACCACAAAACAGCCCATACCCCTGCTAGGTGCACCCAATAACAAAATCAACAAAGACTAAACGATTACAACCAAAACACCAAGATGTAATTCCTAGAGACACATTTATGGCAGAACGAAGGACGAATAACATTTTGCCTCTATTAGTCTTCATGAGCTTGGGACAAAATGCAGTTTTAACAAACATAGCGAGAGAGAGTAACCATAGAACACTAGAGGCAGGGAGAAGCCGTCAAAACCGTGACATTTTATACAGATGCAGATAGCCAGAAATGTAAATTTTAACACAAAACAAAGCTTCTCGCTTTGGGTTTCTGAATATGAACAACATAGGCGTTCCGAGAAAATTCAAGAACCGAAGAGATCAATACAGGCTATTTTTTTTTGCCGAAAATCCAATCCGCACTAAAGCAAGACCAAGTATCTGTTCAACTAAAAACTTTTTTCTGTTGAAAATAACTTCATTTTTACATAACCAGATAGTCTAGATGAAACCAAACAATGCAAAATTTCAAACCGACTTTGAGGCAGACTTGATTGAAATTTTATCCCATACAATCAGAAATGAAAGAGAATATCCCGGAACCACAATTTGAAGATCCCAGAGACTCCACCATTTGGACCAGCTGCTCCATGATACCTTACAGTGAAAGAATATGTGCATTATTGAATCAACTTCCTTAGAGCAAAATACACTTATGGGGTTCACGGAGGAGACCACACTTCACTTGAGGAATTCATCAGAGGTGGGAATTCTGTAGTGAGCGATTTTCCATACGAAGGATTTAACTTTCCGTGGAGAAAGGTTTGCCTATACAAGCTTCCAAATTGGGTCTTCCTCCAAATCTATCGAGGAAGCAGATTCACAGTAATGTTTGGGATAACACTGCCCATCTGAGGACCCTAACCAAACATATTTGTCAACTGGATTTTAAGGATTAGAAGCTCTATCTAAAATTTGAACAAACATATTTCAAACAACGATTTGCCATTCAAACAGTGGCATATGAATTTCAATGTACCACAACAATTTTTCTTCTAACTTAATCCTGAATTCATGGGCTGAACTAATTTTTTTCAAGGCCATAGCGAATATACAAGGAAATGATTCTCTGAGGAATTTGATTTTAGTGTAGAAGTCGTTCCAGAAATCATAGATTTACCGTTGCCAAGGAAAAGCCTGATATTTTTAGCAAATGGATCCTTTGGATTAGGTAGGGAACGAGTTATGCTTCTCCAAACCCAAGAACAGCTCCTGCCTTGTGAAGAGGTCAGTAACAAAGCTTTGTGGTTGTATGCATATTTTCCCCAATGACCTTTCTCCATAGGTAGTTAGATTCTGTCGCACCCTCAATTTTTTTTAAATTTATTTGATTTATTACTAATTTATTAATTTATTGGGATTTTAAGAGACCAAATTAAAAAGATTCTGTAAACTTTA